AAATTATGAATTGTTGGTATGATTGCATTACTCATGGGATGCAAGAGGAATGGCGAGTGTGTAGGACATCCTATGACATCAGGTACAGAGACGGCAACATTTCTTCAGGTAGAAGGACTCCCTGAGTTATCAGCTGCCCATCTCTGTGTAGACTGAACTGCCCTCCCCGTACCTGAAACTCACCTGTAAGTCCCTGGCAGGTTGGGCCAGGGTAGGCACAACATGCTTTGCTGTGGTCCACGTTTGTCATTAGTCGGTCATGCGTGATCTGGTGTCAGGCTACGCCTAGGTGTGTGCAGGCCAATCAACTGTCATTTTCAAGAGCCTGGTATGCCGCCCTACCTCCACCCACCCCCCACCCCCCACCCTCGCCCTTGGTCATTTGCCTGACAATTGCATCTGGTGGAGGGCTTTTTCAGAAGCCTACACCAAAGGTTCTAGCCCTGACTTGTTTCGTTGGAGAGTCTAATTGGCATTTGTGTGTTCAGCATCCCTACGGGAGAGATGAGGTTGGCAGCTCCAACCCATGTAGGGGTGCCACGGAAGACAGTCCTGGCAATCTGCTCCCAGAAAGATGGCTGCCAAGATAACTCTAGAGAGCACAGTTTAGATCTACAACATAGGGGGCCACCAGGAGTTGGAATTGCCATTGTTTTTATGACACCTCCCTCCCCATTGTTTTATGGGAGAAATCACCAGAAGGTCATTGAGGCAGTTGAGGCCAGCGGGGACTGCCTTAACTTGTTGAATTTCACACCGAGGTTCCCTGGGACCGAATGCCCCTATAGAGGGTCAACCTTACAGAATGACTTTCCATGAAGACCACATCCAACACCCAGAATTCCACACGCCCTGCCACGGAGTCAATTCCGACTCACAGTTGACTCACAGCGCCCCCTCTAGGACACAGTAGAAGTGCCCTGTAGGGGTTCCAAGGCTGTAACTCTTCATGGAAACAGACGACCTCATTGTTTGCCTGGGGGGCCGCTGCTGGGTTTGAACCACTGCCCTTGAACCATAATTCCACCGGCCTCGTCGGAGCCTACATGCTTATGTTTTAAAAAAACATATTGTTGGGTGAAGAACTTAACAGAGCAAGTTTATTTCTTGTCACGGATTGCATTCGGCACAATGGGACGTCGCTCTTCCCACTTGCTCATGGTGTTGAACACACGGTGATGTGTAAACTGGAGGACCAGTTGTTGTGGAGTGTGGAGCCCGCTCTGACTTACGTGGACACCATGACTCATGTGACACAGCAGAACCGGGCTCCGTAGGATGGTCAAGGCGGGGACCTTGCAGCGTACGATTGCCAGGACTTTCTTCTGAGATACCTCTGAGTGGATTTGAACCACCAACCTCTTGGATAGTAGGTGAGCCCTTCAGTGTAGTTAAAATATTGACAACAAAACCTCCAACAATTCAAATATTATAACATGTACGATTCAGGGACCTCCATGATGTTCTTGGAGTTGTACATTTTCACCTTCTTTTCTGAGTTGTCTCCCCCACCCCCATGAACCGATATTCCCTGCCCCCTGAGTTACCTATTGAACCTTTCCACGTGCTCTTGTCAAGTGGATTCCATATCGATTGTTGTGTTGTGAAGAGCTGTCGAGTTGGTTCTGACTCACAGCAACCCTGTATATGGTTTCTGATGCTTTAAATCTTTGCGAGAGCAGAAAGCCTCATCTTTCTCCTGTGGAGATGCCGGTGGGCTCGAACCGTGGATCTCGAGGTTCACAGTCCGGTGCTTATGGAACCATGCTGCTCCCCGGCATAATTCCTTAAAAGAACATAGTGCTGAGGGGAATGATGAACTTTTCAGTGCAGGAGTGGAGGTCCCTGGAACCATCAATGGAGAAGAGCGGAGAGCAGGAACCTACCCAGAGAAGCAGTGATGCCTGAGATGGAGG